GCAGCCTTTAAAAATCTTTAATTGAGATAATCTTCTAACCTAGAAAGAAACTCTATCAAGTTTCTAAATTATTCGATAGTTGGAAGATTCCATCCTTTCAAAAGCTTTTAATTCGGGAACTTTCATTCTTAATAATTACAATGTTTTTTCCGAGTTATTTTGACGCTTTTCTCGATTGAATTATGATAATCGATTTGCGAAGATTCCTCGCAACGCGCGTTATTATGTTAATAAAATCACGTGATGTTTATATGGGTTAAACTACTCCTATCAGAGATAATACTGACGATTTCATGCTTCCAGGATCTTGTCCTGGGAATTATCGCGCGATCGTGCGATTCGCGTGCACGTGGCGGTGCAAATCCGATTTGGCGCGCGCATAATCGAGTTCGTTACTTTACACATGGCGGTAGTTAATCAAGCTGTGCAAATAGGTAATCGATTCCGTAATCGAGTTCGCGTATTCGCCCCGCGTATAATCCGATGTTATAGGAATTGGTTGCGAAATCGGCTCCGTGTAACCGTCACGTCCGGGAAATTCGTTTTCTGATTGACTTCCCTAAATAGTTGAATTATCTGAAAAATCGTGAGTCTAATATTTATAAAACAATTCCTCGACTAGCCTTCTACCATTAGTTAGTTATATAAAAAAGATAAATGATATTAACAGAATATTACTCTTCCATATTACTGTAAACATCATTAGCTATCAGATTAAAATATTATATAAATTTATATATGCGCATTTGTGAGACTAATATGAATTAAAATATAAAATGTCAATGTAGTCTATGTAGATAAGGAAATTCCGAGAATTAAATGCCCAATGCAAATTCGCTTTCTCAGAAATTTATAATTGAGCACTGCTACGAGCACATCACATTTGACATATGAAAAAATTTATTTTTTTCTACAAATTTACATCTGGCAATTTATTCGCGTGCAGCGAAAATTCTTCGCCGCATCGAAAGTACCGAGTGTTTTTCACAGATAAAAATATTGTTTTGATTCTTTGGGCGAGCTGCGATAAAGATAAACATCCAGGAATTAGGCCAGTTTAAGATGCCCTCACACGATCCGGCAATTGCCACCGCAGCATCGCCGGTATTGATGATCGTGCGAACATCGCAACGGCTGATTGATAATACGATGTATTCACGCTGTCGACGCGCGAGCATACCGATGTGTTTACGGTAACGCTGGTCGTGCGAGGGCTCTCATAAGTATAGCGGGCAATTCGTTGCCACGTCAGCCACGGTGGTAGCTGACGACCACCAGCGCGATTCACCGTCGTATATCGTGACGGAATTAGCGGGTAACCGAAATAATTTATAGCCGGACTCCGAGCGCCGCGCTCTATCGTCTTCCCTCGCCCAGTTCTCTCCCATCCCTTACTGACCCTGAAACCCACTGTACTTCATTCATTACGCCATCTCGCGATGGCATTTCCACGTGACGAACGAATTATAGGACTCGGTCCATACATTAACCTTAGAATGAAATTTGTATCTTAATACATCTGTCAACATTTGGAATTAAAAAAAAATAGATACACACAGTGTGCGTCATTGACGCGATGAAAGCATGTAGTAATAATTACACTGTTTCATCAAATGTTTCACAAAATGCTATTGAAATTGAATGACTGCAGGTAACGTTGTGGAACAGTTTCTTGAAAAACTGTTATCATTTAAAGTAGTGGTATTTAAAGAAACGCATGTCTACGAGGTACTACGTATTATAAAATGTCACTCGTTGGATATTTTCCTCCCTGAGAGATATTTTCTATTTTCTCGAGGTTCTGCCCTAATAGATTGTTATACGTACATCATATTAATACACTGTGTTACGCTTTTAACGCGAAATATATAGACGTCACATTGACGTCATTGAAGCAATTGCTTAAGGATCAAAATGGATTTACTCGCCATAAACGTTACTGATTTATGTTCTCATCGTTTAGTACTAAATATGGCTGAGACTCGGCTTTATTTATTTAACGGTCGATGTCACTAACGTCGATTAACTTTAACTGCAGTTTAACCAGTTCTCTCTCTCTCTTCTCTCTTCTCTCTCTCTCTCTCCTCCTCTCTCTCTCTCTCTCTCTCTCTCGATAGACACCAATATGATATAGATAAAGAAAGATAATTTAGCATTGAATGTGCGAAACAAATTATATCTTTCTTCTATATTCTCTGACTTTACATCTCTCTGATAGAAACGTGAGAGACATATTTCTTCAATCGCTGTCTCTCTTTTAATGCATCTTTTCTTCAAATAAATTTTAACTTCTTTTCTCGCTGCCTTATAAATAGGACAACCGGTGCCTAAAGGCCGAGATAATCCGTTTAATCTCAAATTCTTCCAGCGCGTGTCTATAAATCCGCGCGCATTTACAGAGAGGCGTCGTCTTGTGTATTTTAAAATAAATAACCGTGTTTAAAATAAATAACTATAAATTGCAGAGCGCGAAAAGTGGTGCCGTTTATTTTAATTATTCGCACGCCACTGTGACTTTGGCACTATTTTTTTCAACGATAAATTGCATTCTCCTCGCGTCATGAAAAGACCGCAAACTTCGTCAGTCAGGAAGCTCGCATCATAAGTCCTGATCGAAATTTATCACTCCGGGCACGTCAAGACGCGGACCTCAAGCGAAGGATTATAAATTCGACGAAGAGATTCTTCGACAAGTAACAAAAATTCACCATATAAGGGAAGAGAAACTCTAAAATACCTTGCAAAGTAACAAAAATTTCAAGATATTCACAAATACTTGATATGTGTTATATAATTTCTTGGCAAATAAATACATTAACCAAATAATTTCTACACAATTTTCTAAAATAATCTGAGATAAGTAAATTTCTGTTTATAGAAATCGCTACTTTTTAATGTGTTTATAATATTTTGATCAGTATTTTCTTCTTTTCTAAATCAATAAAATAAGAAAAAACGCAAAGCGGGACATATCGAGCAATTATCTGCGCGACGATATAAATTTAGGTGGAAATGACGCTCATTATGAGCACACGCGTTATTAAAAGCCCGACAATTCCAGTGATTTTTATCTTTCCGCGTAAATCGCACACTCGCGAACGACAGCACCGACGTCAGTGTGAGTCATTTGTTGTTCGTACGAACTGCAAACGTTCCCCCGCGAGATTCGACGAGTAATCGTCGCTCTGTATCAACGCCGACAGCCTCTTCCCTTCGAGATTTCGCCGAAAACTTTTCTCGCCCCAGTCCTTCCTTCCTATTCCGCGTGAGAAACAGCCCTTATCCTCGAGGAAATTCAATTTCCTTTCACGATCGCCGCTCTTTTCTCGAGGAGAATAATAAAAGTATAAGTGATAGAACTTTGGCGGGCGCACATTTAGTCGAAAAACGAATATCGAGACCATTAGCTCACGCCGGCGACTATCGATTGCCGATGGCTCGACTAACGTGCCCGCTTTCGCATATATCAGCAAATTTGCGCCTGTGACATCGATCAACACATCGTATATATCTGACTATATTTTGAAGAAAGTATCTTACTCAGAGCACACCGCGGTACTTCGTATCTCTCTTCAGTACACTGCCTTATATATTTCAAAAAATATTCTACGCAATATTGATTACAAAATTCTCTGAAAGATATAATAAAATTGGTCTTCGCCTTTATTCGTGTCTCTCTTTCTCTCTCTCTCTCTCTTACTATCTTCACAGATGCTAGAAGATAAAATTTCAAAAAATTGTATCCTGCTCGCTAACGCAATAAAGATCCAAATTGCTCAAAGAGCTCCGTGTCTGTGGTGTTTCTGGAATATATCATTATCATGATAATTCTGAGCGTACACTTCTTTCAGCATAATGTTAAATATTCTTGAGATATATTATTCTTGGGGCCTTGAAAGGGAGACATAAGGCGATGACAGATGATAGCGTGTACAATATTCCGGTCTCGTTGGCGGACATGCGGAATTATATATCGGAAATTGGAGCCCGATATTCAAACGAAGTATGTCAGGGTTTATCACGTGCGAGGCCGTCATGCAGCACGACCATGTCACCGTCGATGCTTCGTTCGATTATAATTTATCGAGTACTAGGAAACGAGTTAATTCAAGTAGCTCCATGTATCTAGGCTTTTCCGCTAAATGATGATTTTACGATATTTTCATAAAACCGACGTTTGCAATAATAATTCGCAAGGCAGTTTATTCCAAGTTCGAATTCATCGTCGAATTCAACGCGCAAAGTGGAATATTTAACATTTAAAAAATTTAAAAAGGTACGAAGAAACAGCGCTGACAAGATCATGATTTACATCAGAAGTCACTGCAATTCAAAACGTGTAATTTCAAGAAATTGAACATTCGCAGGTCTCGAAAGGATTACTTATTACAACGCGATGTGATACGAAATGTTATGAGCAACGCGATCTTAATCGAAAAAAGAACTCGCCGGCACGTGCCTCGTGTGATATTCTGGCTCGATGTGTGGTCAGCACGCGAGAAACATGTGGCCCGCATGTGGCATAAAATGTGAGGTTCGACGATGAAGGAGACTTCAGGATGTTTGCGAAAGCAAATGTAGCGAGAATGGAAGCAAATTTCGCCAACGAGAGAACTGAACGTTGCACACATCTTCCGTTCATCGTAACGCGATGATGCACTCTGCTTTTCTGCATTATCTTCAATCGACAGATCGCGTTGTCACGATAAGGTACGGCTCGATCTATACTTCTATCGGATGAAGACTTTTCCAGCGACTGCGCCGTTATCGCTGTGTCATCCGTAAAAAAAAAATATTGAAACGCGTTAGAAGTTGCATCCAGATATTTAATTAGATTTAATTAGAGTCATCGCTCACGCAATTAATTAACCGAACATCGCCGATGCGTAGTCAATGTTTCATGTACAGGCGAGTGATCGAAACCGACGAAATTCACCGGCTGCAACCCCTACCATCGGCGGTGGCCGCGCCGCCGAGGCTGGCTGCAGTCGACGCCGAAGCCGACGCGCGTGAGCGTCGGTGCCCGCGCCGATCAGTTCGCGCGGCACGCTCGACGAGTGAGGTACGTGTTCTCACTTTGCCTTGCTCTCCAGTCTGTCAGGTGCATCGGTGGTTCACACGAGGAAGAGAGAGAGAGAGGGAGAGAGAAAGCAAGACATACAGAGCATTAGTTTTCAAACGCAATTCTAGCCGAAGAGTTCAAGAGGAAGAGGAAAAACGGCGGCGATCATAGAGAAGCATTTTTCGCGAGACAACCCGGACTCCGGGAGCTTTCGAACACAGATGGTGAGAGGTGAGTACCTCCCTCGCGTGTATTTATGTCCCTTAACGCGAAATATGAGGACACTTTTGCGAGCAATCGATCGGCCTCCGGAGAAACTCCCTTTGGTTACCCTTACCCACCCTTAATAGAGTCAGCCCGACGTGACGATGACGGCCGGGTCACGGGAGATCGCTTCTCGCGTGCGGCGCGATGCGTGGGTTAACGTTCGTTAATTCCGTCGCGATATCGGCGCTTGATCCGTCATGTTAATCGAATTTGTGCGAAATTAGTTACTCGGTCGTCTGGCTGAATGTGGGAAAGCTGGTTACGAGGTGACGCGTAATGATGTTCGCCGGATAATTTTACGATTTCGAGAGCGGTGTCGGAATTAACATCCGTTGAATCCTTTAACTAGGAATTAATGCGTTAAATGAGATTGAATCAATTTCGCGCTAAACAGGATTACGTCGCGTGCAAATTAAACTGTCGCGATAGTATAATTCTCGTACAACGATAAACTGTATTAATTTATTGTCAGATAGCTATTTCATTAATATTACATCTTTCGCAAGACGTCTCCAGTCTCGTACCGAAATAGAGATTAAATTAACTTCGAGCAAAAGAAATTCTAACTCAATTAAAATAATTCACGAAATAATATATAAATAATATTACTGTGCAAATTAAGGGATTAAAATATTAAAAGTAAAAATATCGATGAGTGAATTCATCTTTAACAAATTATTCTTGTAATATTTGTAATACTTTTCGATCTTTTTTGCTTGAATTTGAGACGCCGGCATTCTCTACGGCTCACTGCGGCCCGGAAAGATTGAAATGTTCTATAACGAAGCGAGAATGTAATCGTCGCTATCCGATTAACGATGAGAAATGGTGCTTTCGAGAGTATGTCTCAGATGTAATTTAGCCACCGGCTACGCGGAGATCGATCCCATTCAAATTTAACTTCTATCTTAAATTTAATCACGCAGACTGACTTATTAGTTTTGTTTGACGTAAGGCGGCCGTGATGCTGGAACAAAATTTGCTCGGCTGCTCAATTGAGCATAATGAATAATTGATTTCGAGCTTAAGCTCACAAGAACAAATGAATCGGGAATTTTCCTTCGACCGGTATATTTCCACTCGTTGTTTCTGGGAATATCCTATCGGACGAAACGCGACATACATAGATAAAAATGTTCTATTACAGGAAAATCCGCCGCTTACTCGATTATGCCGAATAAGAAATGGCACGTTCGTTTAAATCACGACTTTTCTGGGAAACAGTTTTTCGTAAGTTCATAAATTATTCGTAGACGAATCTGTGATGTAGCACGTGTCATTGTTTAATATGTAATTTATCTCTTATATATATTCAGGTTTTTTTTGTAACGTTCTCTTATATTTCACTCATATTCCTTATTTCTGGTGTCGAATATTTTTTTGGGGATAACAATGTCGCAGTTTAATCGTAAGATAAAATTAATAGAAATTGTATGTATGATTAGACCTTGCGTTAAACTCGAGACAATAACAGTCACCGTATCCGGCACAAAAAAATCTACGACCACAACCGGTCGGACTCTACTTGAATTACAGACCCATGGTCGGCCTCTCCTACTTATTGTATTATAAATGTGCGTAATGTAGATACTGACAAATATATTCAGAAATATAAATCCATTTTCTTTTTATACAAGAATACCTAAAAAAGGATTCAGCTCTGCTGGATTAATTTTTCCACGATTATTTCTTTACCTTATCAATGAACTTCTCGAAAATGATAAATGATCTTCCCCGTCTTTTTTACACTACAGTTTTTCTCCAAAAAGCGCCGGGATTTGTCCCGGGCTAATAATAAAACGACTTTCCTCTTTCTACCTTTCTCTCCCTGTCTTATTCTCTCGTTAGGTGCAACACCCGCTCACCTATAAACGCGAATTACGCTTTCCGCATGCCAGACAAGAGTGTCAGCCGCGAAATGAGTCTGTCGGTCCTCCCGCGAGATCCGGCATGAACGACGTTAAATTTACATTGGCGTCGCGAGACCGAGAAATCAGCCGGCTGTCGCCGTCGCCGCGGGACGAACATGCTTAAATTTAAGTTTCCGTCGAATTGTGAACGGTGTGACCGTGCCGAAATGCGTGCTCCACTCAGCCGCAACGGAATGTATATTTAACCCCCATTAACAATTTCGGACAGATAAGTTGCAACTGGACTTAAGAGTCCCTAAGAATGGTAACATAACCGCCTGTCGTTTCACTTGTCATTTCGTCCCGCATTTCTTCGTTCTTATTTTTATTTACCATTGGTGTAGCTACTCGTAGTAAAGCTGAGCTATTGATTAAGTTCTTCTCTCGAAAATCTCATATCATAATAATAATAATTAATTTTCATCTTCTTATTTTATTCTCATTATCGGGCACGATGGATAGTCGGAATAAACTTTTATTATTTGAACCAATTAATTTTTGTCGCCAAACATTTGCTCTCACTTATTGTTCCCGTTCTATTTTTCCGTTTGCTTTATAAAAACAAGTGCTTCTGTCAATTATTGTTATATAAAACAGTCACATATTGAAATAAATAAAAATGCAATTAATTGATATAAAGAGAAAAGTCAGTATATTCATTTAACTATTATTCGGCGATTAATTAGATTAAAAGATTATTGATAAAATATCACCTCTCAAGTGAAATAACATTTTTCGGAAATTAAATTTATCAGTCGGTTTTGGGGAACGTTATGTCTACTTAGTGATAAAACAAAAAAAGACTTGTCAATAATAAAACATTAATTGGGTTGACAATTGAAGGATGCAAATTTTTTCCTCCTCAAGGTGTGCCAATTCTGTCGCTACGTGGCAATGCAAATTCATTGTGCAAGATCTTGTATTGGCACAATCGTAGTTAAAACAATAATGGAACGCTATTCAGTTGAGTGAGGAGCGTTGTTACCGAATGGCAGCTTCGCTTGACATTATTATCAGCGAATTTGTTCATTGCCTCTTTAACTAAATGACCGTATACAAAATACTAAAAATAGAAGAGAAAATAAAAAATCTTAAAATATTTTTGCAAATATTAAAATATATTTATAAGAACTCGCTAATTCTAAAATGATTAGTATTTCAAAATAGGTTAAATTAAAATAAATAAAAATTAAAGTTTATTGCACAAAGTTTGTTGCGCATTGTAAATAATGCGCGGATATTTGATTTTAGGAATAATAATAAAAATCAATGAGAAAAGTGAAATTTCGTGACCGATAGATAGGCATTTGCATTCGATCGGAGGTCATCACTTATTGCAATGAGTGATTACTTTGGCGTTGCAACGAGAGATCGTCGCATGTGAGACGTTTAGTTAACTATTGCATTAATTAAGCGACGTATACAGTCTACGAGGTCAAGGTTTCGATTGTGATAGAACCTGCTAATTAAAGATACGCATTAGACTAACATATTCTGACTCGGTAAAAAACACAATAATGATCTGTTTATTACACTTTTAATTAGATAATATTCCGATGATGTAAGACCTTAACGCGTTTCTAGCGTTTTATTTTGTTATTCTTATGCTTATTAGATGTGAAATATATATTATATATATTTTTCTATCTATCGTTAAATTATTTTTTATTTAGATTATATTCCCAGATTATTTAAAATTAGACGGCATATACATCATTTTGCGTTTCCGTTCTACAATTCGTAACGTTAATTTACATTTCTGATTGCTGGCTAACTGACATCATAACAAAATCGCGCGTGTCGTACGAGGATTATTCGTGACAATCCACGAGAGCGCGATGTATCTGTATGACACGTAATGTAGAAATCGATAATAATTATAGTATTTGTATGCACATTATATGACTCGTGTAATGTTGCAGGTAGTACTAGATGTTTCATAAGTCACGCGACAAACCTCGCAAATGTATATCTGGATAAATTCCGAATTAACTTCCTTTAAAATTAAAATTTAAGCAGAATTCACATTTGATAACACTCTAAATAAAAATAATTTTTGAGTTAGTTGTAGAAGAATTTGAGCAAAAAAATTAATCTAAAAACTTTTTTATCTCTATTTATTTTCATTAAAACAATTCTTTTATTTATAAATAAATTTAATTTTAAAAAATTGAATAAAAATAAAAATTAATCAATTAAAGTAACGCAAAAATTAAAGAATTGTAAAAATTTTTGCTTTTAATTCAATCAAAAATTTGACGAAAAATGTGCCACCGAAAAAATTACAGTGTAATTTTTGGAATAATCTATAACTTGACATGACCTTTAACATTGCAACGCGGTGCTATGCCATCATGTAATCTGACAACCGTGCTTCCGCTGTATCAATTAATGCTGCCACCAAACGGTTGAAAAGGTCATAACTCTCCTTTTCTCTTTGCTCCTTTGAATTTTCATTACTGCACAAAATTAACAGCCCTTGAATTGATATGCGCTAACAATTTTCAAATATTATATTATTAGAGTAAGTGAATATTTGAGTCAGAGCGCATAAATAATAATGACTTTTTGCACAAAAACAAAAAGGTTTGAAGTTAAAAGTTCAAATTTTTGTAGTTTTTTATAAAAGCTACAATAAAATGTACATATAAATGCAAAAAAGAACCTTTTGAGAATAAAGTTCGAAGGTGAAAGATAAATTTACAAAATAAATATAAAAAACTTCGATTAATATATTAATATAATACATTAATATATCTTACATATTTAATGCGCTCTTTCTCATACCATCACAATTATTTCGATTAACGATGAATATATTAACTCATATATCTCTCTGAAATTTTTATTCGGCACTTTGCCTTCTCAAGTCGACAATTTGATCTAAATGGTGGAACGCTCGAGAGGTGAAAAGAACGATCAGGACGAGAGCAGCCTCCTCTCGAGGAAACTCTCTCATGAATGGCTCGATATTACGCGCGACGGTCAATCGATCTTCATTAAACAGAGACAGGAGCTGCAATTTGCATAGAAAAATCGCGCACGTGCGGGCGCGTCCCATAAAAGATGAAAGAAGACGACGGTATGTCAGTGTCAGTCGACTGATGCGCGCTTGCCGGGCAGAGAAAATCGATCTATCACGATCGAGACGTCACTCCCGACGTCCGAGCAAGACGATCAACAATTTATAGACCGACCGCGCGCCCGCTGGATACGGAACTCTTTCTGAAATCCGAAAACTCAACGTTCTTCACGTACCGATTGTTAAATATCGATGCGGCTCGACCGGCGTTGTCCATTTAGTCCATTTAGCGTGCCAAATTTAAGACAGTATCTATCCGTTTAATAGCACGCTCAATATCGATCGGCCGCGAGACTGGCGTACTAATTTTAGGCTATTGCATCAAGTCGCGAGTTTTATAGAACGTTATTATAAAGTAAGGAAGTTTTTCAAGCAATCACGGTGCAGCATATTTAGACGGCAGTGTCTCTACACAATTGAAGAGCTCATTTCCAAGCTGTTTTAAATGCATATTTCTAAAAACTGGAGATTGCATGTTACAAAGCTGTGCGGAGTTAGAAAAACTTCGGATAATCGCCTTTCTTTTTTTAAATTACTTCAGAAAGTATGGAAATAATTGTCTTTTATAAGTATAATAATTGTCTTTTCCCTCGTACGCTTTTCGAAAATATCACGATGAGCTAAATATGACTCTTTCCCAATGCAGCGATTATTTGCAATGCGATTGCGCAAAAGATCATAATTTTATCAACACACCGGAGCTTTGGAATAAAGCGTCGTTGATGTTTCAATCGGATCGTTTTTCAAACGAACAAGCGTTCTCGTATTCGAAATTCAGAGACCTCGGGCGAAATCGTTTTGCGGACACACGCGTCGTTGTCTTCTGGACAAATAGGATATATCTCGTGCACGATAGTCTTTCTCAGTCACGCGTGACGTAGTCGATGAGGTATAATGCGACGTTACGTCTCTCGGAGAAGAAGGGCCTCATTGTCCGAGCCCGAATTACGTTGTCCCGACGTTGTCTCTGACGAGCGAATTACCGAGCGAGTTTCGCGCGTCGTTAAGCCTTAAGTGCCGACATGTCATCCGTGGCTGGAATTATGTAATGCTACTCTGGGTTAACAAATGCGTGCTGTGTGTCGCAATTCCGCGTAGTAGAATAGGTTTTACAGCTTTGTTTAATCGTTAGACATTAACGAGCGCCTCCCGGCAGAACGTTCCCGTGAAATCCGAAATCGCAGTCATTGTATTATTTCTTCGAGAATAGAATATATTGTCGTTTTTATTCAACTTCGTGAAATCTTGTTTAAAAATATTTAATAATTCGCTGGAAATTTATTATTGCTTATCCGTTTTCTACATTTTACTGTTTAATTCTAAATTGACGTTTAATTATGAATCTTTGATTTCATCATGCTTACAATTAAGGGGTGGAAACATTGCTATGGATTCGTTTCGCGCTCGAGAATAACGATCGCGTTGTTTTTCTTCGAGGCGATAACTTCGCTTCAGACTACGAAAGATGAAAAACGACACCCTCGTTCATGTTAAAGCAATTTATGTGAGTGCGTAAGGAAATAAAAAAAGAAAAAAAAATAAAAGTGAGATCTTTTCTCGAGAATGGTTATGTGAAAGCTTACGTCTTTTTATTTGTTGCAGGATCGTTACCTGATATCGCAGTGACGATGGCATCGGGCAGAGAAATCCACGGTGCTTTTAGGTAAGCAAAAAAAAATCGTATTCAAATTTACATTGGCCAAAAAATAACCAAAAGTTATGATCTTTCTGATACGTTATCAAATAAACTAACGCGACTCAACTTAGACAAACAAAATGCTGCTCTGTTTATGACAAAAGATTGTCCTTTTCTTTTTATTTTAATTCTGATTATGTAATAAAATCATCTGAATAATTTAGATTAATTTATTTTAAATTCAACGTGACTCGTAATGTTAATTTATCCTATTTCTGGTTTTTTTCACCTTTTCTTGTTTTACACGTGTAGTCTCGCGCGAGTGCACTCGAAAAAGCGAGCACACAAATACACGCATACATACACGCGCACCGCTGATTTCAGCGGCGGAAAGCCGGCTGGTTATTTCAAGGATTTTCGTGGGTGTATGTTTTCCACGCAAACTTTAGAAATTCATTATTACGCGAGGCGCAGGAATAAGGAATTAGTTAGCCGTCTGTTACATCAATGTACAGCTCACGAACGTAGTATAATTTCTTAATGACGGATTCTCCGGCGAGTTCACAATCGATTTTATCTTGTCAATCAAAATTTGACGGAAAACTTAATTCTTTTCGTACACGTGAATGAATATGATATAGCGAGAACTACTTGAATCTCGTATGCAAAATTCCTAAAAAATGTCAAATATATACTCAGCTTAAAAAAAATTAAATCACTCTCTTAATTAAATTTTAAAAATGCTTAATAATCTAATAAACTCGTAAAAATAATTTTCGGCAAAATATGTTAATTTCCTGAAATTCGAATAGAGGCGCAATTTGAATAAGAAAATTTCAGCAACTTGAGCCGCAACGTGCCGTCCGCCCGAGTACGCGAGTATACTTAAGGAAGCGCGTCCCAACAAACACATAAGAGAAGTCACCTAGTTATTTCGAGGATTTTCGTGGGTGTATATAATGCAAGTTTTTTATCCGACCTTTGTGAAATCTCGGCGTGGGTGTCGACGAATAGGGCAATAGGGCTTTGTGTATTACATCGATACGAGTCGCTGTTACACAAATAGAAATGTTTAAATATAATAAAGCGTCATTGCTTTTACTTATTCGGTATCGCATCAATATTCTGCAAGACGTATAAAGGAACTGACATTTTTGCCGGTAATGCCGATATTACTGCAGAATATCGACATTGTATATTAATAATTGATTAAAGAGAAATGTTTCCGTGACGATAAATTAATAAAAAACATTTGTTCCATAAAAAGCTTGAAGCTTTACGAAATCGATTAATTTTCATCGATTAATTTCAGATAAATAATTTGATATAGTTGTACAACGAATCTTTAGTATCTCGACAGACTGAAGACAACCTCTCATGCATAATTAATGCATCCATTTCTGTTTCCGACGCGCGATTCGCGCTAATCAGCGTATTTTCGCCGTGCATTTAGCGTCAAATATAATTGTTTGATCCTCGTCCGTGTCTACACCTCGGTTATGATACGGTCCGCAAATAAAGCTCGGCATTAAAACACGTCGCGAAATTCGTGATCAGAATAGCGAGCACGGATTTAGAGCGGAGATATCGATCGCGTCTTCTCCCGGAGCGGGCACGACAAGCCCGACAGCAACCTGAGAATCGCGCGATTTCGAGCTATAGCATTTCGCGATAGCGCACAATCGACTGACAGTGAATGGAGGAACTTTCGCCTTGGCAACTCTCTAGCGCTGGCCGCGCTTGCGATTTTATTCTTAGCGACGTTGCTTTATTTTTATTGTGCTTATAGCGCGGCATCGATCGCGCGGAACCGCGAGTTGACGTCGTCCGATTCGATAGTCGCTCATAAGTAATGCAGCGAGTAAGTAGTAATGCCGCGTCACAGACAGACGCTGAATGAAAAAACGCGGCGGAAGTATCAGGCCTATTTTTAATCGCGGTAAAGTTGTTCCCACGCGTGTTATGCCATAACCCTTTTCGTTGTGCTGACGAAGAATGGTTCAAACACTCTGTACTCCATATCACGCGAATGTTATAAAAAAGATAGAAACAATTATATAAATCTCGGACTGTTATTTTTACTTTTGGATTGAACAAATGAGGGACAAAAGAATAAACATCTTAATTAACATTCAGTGATATTCACAGCGGAAAAAAAAGTATATCGCAATAGCAAATTGAAATATCCCAATGCTTCTGCAGCACACAATCACTGCTTCGTGTCATATCGGCATGTATTTCCGGTCGTAAATGAAATATCAATGTCTACTATGCGGAAATATTTTCGGCGTACGTAACTGCGCTTTTAACTCCCTCGTGAATCCGCCAATCGATACACTCCGATGGCTCTCGCGAAGTTCGAACGACCGGAGATTGGAAAGTTCCGCACTAAATTTCGCCCGAAATGCGGTCGGTTTCGTTTCCCGTTAGGATATCGCTGCATCCATTCATGCCTGGGCGATCCTCGTTAAGCCGCGGAGTCTTTGACGTCACGTTTAAGACGCCGTTAGAAGATTATAACTGTGCATGTGTGTGTGTAAGGGAGGGGGGGTAGAAAGGTTAGAGAAAAAGAGAAAGAGATAGAGAGAAAAGTGGAGACACGCATGTTGGTCGCGTTCCACATTGAAAAGCGTGCTGTCTGTTAAACAATGCGAATCCATTATCGAATCTATCGCAAAAAATAAATTGGATCACGTTCTCGCATTGTCGAAATCGCGTTTTCGCATTTGCTCGAGGGCGCAATCAAGCGCCATTCACGCATCTCCTCTCGTTTCTATTCGGTGTAATCTCTCGGATAATATCCGGACTGTTTGTCTTGAAGGCACCCCGTGAGATGAATCTTTAAACGCAATCGCCCACGCGTTCGACGCCAACATAGCTGGACGATTCGCAATTCGTGTCATCTCGATCTTGAAATGACAAATAAATAAATATTGAGATAGAAATTTTCTCCCGCGAAAAAGTTTTTGCATCCTACGAAAGTTCAAAATGGTGCGTTTAGTTCCAAGTTTCGTTGCTCGATTAAGATTCAGTTGGATTTCTGAAAGGCGTCCCGCGAGCAAATGGGTACGGTACATCGTCTGCACGTGTATTACGCGATTTCCGAAAAATCAATACTTTTCCGCGGCAACACGCGGCACACCGGTGACGTAACGCCTGACGCAAGCGACAATCGTTGCGGCCGCGATGCCGCAGAGAGGCGAACGTCGATAGCACGCCGGGCGTCACAAATGCCTCTGGCTTCCTTAGATCGGCATATTCCGAACGAAGGTATCGTACATCACTTAATCGAATGACACATGAATAGTATAATTATAGATACTGCGTTATTTTTAAACAACTTGTATGACAACACTGCAATTTCGCAGATAAAATGCCACAACGACTCGTCATACACAAATTGACGTATCGATTGATGCAAAGTGTTAAAAATACAATTTTTATAAATTTTCTTCCTATATAAAGCTTAGAGAATATATAATAATAGTAGAGAATATATGATAATAATAATGGAGAATGTACAATAATATTAAATAACATTAAAATCTCAAAATAGCCAATTTTGCTGCTGGTAAAAAATTTCAGGAAAATAAAAACGGAAAAGTATATATGAAAAGACACAAGAGCTTTAAAAATATCAGCGAACTATTATCGCCTAATAAAGATTGCTTCGCGAACGTCCATCAGTCTGTTCGTTACAATAAAAAGCGTAATATATATTTTTACGGATGCAGTTATATATATATATATATATGCAGTGACCTGCGAAAGTCGCGCTTCGCTCGCATGCAAAATTCGCGAATTCCCGCGCCGCCGCCACGGCCATCGTCGATTAATCTCCGCTTCGATCGTCGCCCTCTGCCCTTTCGCCGTTCCTTCGACCCCGTTCTGCCGCCGCGGCAACGTGCCATGAAAATGGTTTGTGATTACCACGGCGGCAGGCATTCGCGCTGACGAGGCGAATATTCCGTCTCTTCCGTCCGCGCTATCCTTAACCCGCGCGAAATTGATTTCGCCACTCGCCGCCTCCTGTCCCGGGTGAATATTCGCTATTGTAAGAGAAGTAGGTAACCACCGCAACGCAAAGATCACAATGTTCGTATCTCCCTTTTTACAGTCTCTTTGGAGAGCGCAAAACAAATATTTCACGTCAAAATAAATTAACTTCAAGCGCAGTAACCGTAGCAACGCTCTTATTGTTCTTACACCACCGATGTACTAAATTTCAATTTCAACGATTCAATAGTTTAATTATAATGTTGTCAAAATTTTGTTCATGAAAATATCACTGCGAAACAAATTCAGCTTTGATAACCGGAACTCGATGGCCAGTGGTGAACATAAAATAATTGTTTATTGATTAATCTTATTTCGGCAAGTGCGAGCGCAAATTAAATTATTTCACTATATTCCTCTAAAATTGACTGAAGTGCATTCGATCTCGTTTTACGGATAAAACTCTTAAGCTCTCTCAAAGTTCGTTCGATCTCCGACGAATCTTCCCATCCTGTCATCAATAAGCGCCGGTGAAAATGAGCAAAGTTTTGAAAGTGTAATCACGCCGCAAAAGTTAAGCCGAAGCGAGTTTCGTGATACCGTGGTGTTTTCTATTTGCGTTTCACGGTGGACACGATAACGCATCCGTCTTTTTCCGCCGGTGATATCAGCGGTCCGGCGAAGGAAGCCCGTAAATCCGAGCGTAAACAACGCCCTAAAACGCGAAGCGTGTTAGACAGGGATAATTCTAGATTCGATTGTACCCGGCTATATAACGCACATACATAGCGGCGGCGAATGTGTGCAACAAGATGCCGGGGCCTGTAAACGAGACTACGGGATACATACCCGCTTTCGGATCGATACTCGCCGCAGTTTTCGCGCGAGTACGGACTCGGCGCGAAGGGCGCGACGAAGCGGAAGAAATCATCCTATCGAGCTGATCTCGCCGCGCCGCCCGACGACTACTTTTGTCATCCACGATTTTTCTCGCTCTATTCGCCGAAAATTGTCGGATGACGACGCGAAAGCGGGGAAACTTCGAGGAAAGCGCGCGCGCGCGCGAATAATTTCTGCAGTTTATGTCTGCGCGAATGGCTTTTCCTCAACGAGATTGTTCCAGCTCGATAAGAGAGGCAGACTTGCGAAGCGCGGTAGAAATTTCCTTATCGATCCGAGCTATCGCGTACGAACGTAAGATAACTCGCAGAAGTCGGCTTAGGTTTTCGTTAAAAAAAAAAAGATAAAAAAAATATAGAGAGGATCTCCGGTTACTAGTGTAATGATACTGCGCCCGATAACGATCAGTATTATTATCGAGTGTATATTGCCGAGTATACACACAGCGCCGGAGTCGGATTTTCCTCTGACGTCGATAACAGATACGGTGCAGATTTATGCTCGTATTTCAGCCGCCCGCGCGGAAACAATGAGCTACCGTGGTACGTCATGCGCCCGCGAAAAAATAGGATGGATAGAACGTGAAATTGGATTGGACGCGGAATGATCAATGTTATTTTGTAATATATGAAAACAGAACGTGGAGGAAACGTAGATTCGGTATAGACAGAAGTAAATGGCAATTGTTCTAGCTTTCAGACAGACGCGCACACGAATGTGTGTCGTCGAACAAATCGCGATATCACCGGCGCAAATCTATTTACGTTCTAAAATTAATTCATGCTCCACGAGTGATCCCACACATATATTTATTTCCATTCACTTGTCCCAAAATAATATTATATATTGGTTCATTAAAATTGAAATTTATTACAATAATCTGGGATTCTGTAAAAATATTACAATGGTTTCTACACTGACAGTCGAAATTAATTTGTTTGGACGAAATGTTTGTCTCGCAGTAAAGAGAATATTTTTCCACGTTAAAAAGAATTCTGCTATTATCGTTTTCTATTTCATTTAATTTTTCCTACTGCGTCATAATTTCTATTCTTATTTTTTAATTACTTTCACTTCCCGTATGACTTAAAATAAGATTTTTTCAAATCTCAAGCAGCATATTTTTCTATCACCTCGCTTCCGCGTATCTTTTGATTTCGTATTGAGCATGCCAATCTTTTCTGTAGATTATTAATCGCACTCTATAAAATAATATATTTTACATCGCGCCTGTACTTGCAGCCTCATTGTAGACGACGTGGACTCGCACTCGATTCTCAGCGACAGCTCCGACCTGGACGGATTATCGCGCGAGAGCAGCTCGCAAAATTCGGCATCGCAGACGCCGCTGGACAGTCCGGGTGGACCGCGGGAGAGGATCAAGCAGATCCAGGTGGAGGCTGAGACCAGACGAGGCGAGTTCGCCCGGCTGCTAGAAGAACACGCGCAGGTGGTGCGCAAATTGAAGATGATGGAGGCGGAAGAGCAGCTGTCGGCGACGACGACGACGACGGCGACCGGGAAAGCGACGGTGATCGGCGGCGCGCACGCGTGATTTTATGATCTGATTATCGCCGCCATCGGTACGAGGGTGCCATCGAGGGTTGGGACCATCGCGTCGACCGCCGTACGACGACCATCACCACCTCATCGCGTTTCTCCCTCGAGCATCGCGACGCACCACCACCCGGACAAACCGTCGGCGCTCATTGCAACTCGCAGACGAAACGCGAATGACGCGAACGTCGCTGGACGTCCGAATTATTAACTCTCGGATGCGTCTACAAGAGGACGCATTCGAGAGTTAATTATGCGGAAAGCGAGATATGGACTCGAGAGGACTTTTTTATTATTTTCTTTCTTTTGTTCACTATGTGCTTTTGTTTCGCTGACTTCCGCTTCGAGCTAATTCGTTCGCTGCACTCTGATTTAGTGGAAATGGAAACTCGAATCGGCTTGGAAATAAATCTTAAACGATATAAGAGAGAAATTCAAAAAGCTCTTTTAAACTCCATGTTTTATGATTTATCACGGTAATTGAATAAAGCGATCAATTTACGACAATTCAGATAAATTAAAAATCAAATAAAGCTTATTTCACAGATTTTTATATATTCTGTTTTCAGTGTCATGTTTTACAATAGATTCCGTTATTTGAATAAAATGACTATTGTTTCTGCATATTCATGAAAAATCAAATCAATTGAAAATGGAATACTGCTTGTTTCGCGAGGCTTTCATATGTAGATTAAACGCACGTGTATTTTATTATTGAACTATCTCAATTATTAAATAATAATATAAATTCTCATAATTTTATGCAATGATACGGTATACTGTTAGAGATGCGCCAATTAAGCGCATAACTCCATTAATTAGCAATGTAAAACATATATAATACGCGTAATACGTTCGAAGCGGAGATTTTCTGTACTTCATCCAATTATGCGAGATCGAGTTTAAAGAGTCGCGAGTCGGCAAAAACAACAGAAATCCACAAAAAAAAAGAAACACGGTTAATCAGCTTCCCGCGACAGGAAACGTCCTGATTTAACCCTTGTTTGCAACAAAGTCTGAATAAAAACCACTAGACACGACAATAATGAGGAACACTATTACGGGGAACGTGCGCGAAAGCCGCGGTTGCGTATTGTTCACAACGCGGGGGAGACGACCCTCTTGCCCGTTCGAACTAGCTCAGCAGCAACGGCTGGCCTAAGCGTAGTACAAATTTTGCAGTGAAGTCTTAATAAAAAAACCGAAAAAAAAGAGGTGCGAGTGGGCCGAGAGGAGGAGAGAGGAGATTTGACGAGCGGCGACGATAATTCGCGCCGTCGTTTGCGGAGGGGTGCTGGAGCGGACATGGTGTCGACACGAACACACGTAGCCTACTCTCGAGACGGGGTGTACAAGCTTCTACGTTTTATAGTGTTGTAGAGTTGAGTGTTCCATATATAAGTGTAAGCTAGTTTTGTATATCGTAAATATACGTGTAGGATAAAGAGCGGACTGCCGGATCTGACGGAGAGCGCACACTCTTTTGTAAATAGGTTTCTTTCCATCGTGTAGAGACATAGCCAGGCTCGGCCGCACCGATCGATCGTCGCTAATTAATCTCGATTAGCGGCCTTCTGTGTCTCTCTTTCTGCGCCGCTGAGTGCAAGTTATATCACAAAAATTGCAGAACAATTATTTAAATTTGAAATTCTCCCTCAAATATAATATTCAAAGATTCGTTTCAGCGGAAATTTAATTTCACATCTACCTGTAGTTAATGTAACAAATGAAACAAAGTATGATAAATTCATTGAAAATACTGAAATCAAATTTTGTAATCTTGTTTTCTTTAATTGCGTCGTAATTGAAAAACTAAAGAGGGGCAACAAATTAAGTAATTACGAGAGACGAGATGAAATAATTATCGATTATCGATGCAACTGAGTCTAAATATTTCATGAAGCTTGAGAGGAATCGCTGAAGGAAAAGCAGAGTCGAACTGAGAAGCTACTTAATTTCACATTTCATTCTTAATATTAGTCTGTACAAAATAATAAGTCTCGATACTTTGCTAATTTTCGCGTGCTCACGTCAGACCGGCATCCAGATGATATAGGGGTATTATTAGGCATTTATATAGACTTATATATACATAATTAAAAAGAGAGACACAAGTAGACCTGTGTTGAATACTATAGTTCTAGTGTAGAGATGTCTATTATTACACAACGTGCAAGTCTACGTCAATCGGCAATCAGGATGTCTTTTCTGTTTCAATTAATTCATAAGATATATCAGTCCGCGATGTCAGAACATAAATTGTCAGCGAGATAATAATCGCTTACATTGTTTCTCTTCAATAAAATACAATTGAAACGATCGGATAAGGAAATAGTGAATGAATTTTCATAGAATTTTAAATTTTTTTCAAAACGTATCTAAAACAATTTATCTTTAATTTTTTTTAAATAGACGCAGTAGAGATATTTAGAAAAGATACTCCCGATCGCTGAATCGTTGATTTAGCGCATTGTGTAAAAGCTGGGGGGGAAACAGTCCTAGGATACATAAGGAATAGACAGGAATGATTTTAGCTGCTCAGAAATGTAAAATGCTTTAAAAAGGAAATTTCGCGGAAGTGATATACTGCGAGGCAATAATTTCTCCAACATACTCGAGTAAACTGTGCGGCGCGGGGGAGGCGTGTGAAGTGCAACATTTGCGTTATTTTTGCTGCTGCGAGATTCCTACGACCGTTACTATTACGTTAAGAAGGCTACAGATACATACGTATATTGTCACCATATGTAGTTTTTAATCTTATTATTATATTATTCGTACGACTGCATGTTAGAGGCGGCTGTATATGATATATACATTTACCACGTTTGTAATGAGACGTTGAGGAAATATGTGATTTTAATTTCGCGCGAGTAAGAAACGCGATTTCAATAACCGCATCGTATTTTATCGGTTCCGCTTTCTGCCACTGCAATAAAATAAAATAAAAAAAATAAAACAACGGCTGCTTTTTAAAGACTCGACAAAACGCAATGTAATATTATATCACGCCCAGTTAATGTTAACGTAATTGAGATTTATATGTAAATTTTGGATGTATTATCGTACATGTGAAATACACGACGACACGCTGTTGAGTTTTATTAAGGAAGACCGCTGCTTGACTAATTATTTATATAGACTCGTGTACGCGAAATAATAATGTATGTAAAACGACGGTTGCTACTGGAAAAAATATACATATATTTTATTGAGTTGACAATGGACATGTATTTGCATTCTCTTTCTTGCATCAACCATATTTTATCCTTTTCTCAAACAGGCCGAACTTTGTGATGTGTTCACAAATGCAATCACATTTGAAAGAAATACTTTGCCAATTAACTACAGCTATGTAAACAATATATTATACAATAACAGTAGGGATGCCTGTTGCATTGATAACTCAAATCTATTATTTGCAATAGTATTTAGAACTAGATATACAATTATAATACTTAAAAAATACGTTAAAGAGGTAAAAGCAATTCATTTCACATAATAATATGATAGATAAAGATACGTTTGTAAAATATGATGTAAAACAACTTGTGACTAATTAGACCGAAATAGATCGCGAAATATGCAAGACAACGCGACAATACGAAGTATAATTTTTTAGCAACTCATGCAATAAAAATATTAGATTTTTTGAAATACAAATAGATGTACGAGATATAAATCAAAAGTAACGCATATATTTTTCTCATAATTTTGTGGCTTTTATGCGTTAATTTTTGATTGCATCAGATACATATATTCGTTAAATCACTTTATCATTGAATAAAAAATATCATTATGTATCAAGAATCAAAGAATTAAATTGTTAGGCAAAACTTTGATCGCCAGTGTCATGATTCTAAATTACAATGTCAATCGTGAGAGAGATATATGATCACAATTTTTATTATTTTACGATTCCGTCACTGCCGTCGCTGTACGTTGAGACGCTAATTCCATTATTCTATGACTTAGTTTTACATTGTGATCCCTCAGATATCTTATCAAGTCTGCCTGCTTTTCCAACAGTTCCTGCAAATCCATTCCCCTTTGACGGTAACCGACTTCCCCCATTCCGGCATAGGAATCTTCTATAAAGGGCGACATCCATTCGTCGCGAAGGACGTCGGGGGGTGGACGCAATCGATTGAATCTCATAACTCTTTCTACACGAGAAACAAATATTGGTAGATCGCATTAAATCAGCGATTAGACGACGTGATAAATTGCCAAATTTTCAATCTGTTATCGATTCAAGTTCAATCTAAAATTCACTTTGAAGATACTTTAATCCTCAAACAAATTGTCTTTCTTCTCTAAGAAATTATTTGCAATATTTCTCAATATTTTCCTTTGGAAGTTATTATGACAGCTACAACTTATATATTCAAATTTTCTCCTCAAATTATTTAAAAATGCAAAGAACTTATTTTTTCTTAATCTAATGTTTTCTACCCTCGTAAGATACTTACTGATATAGTTAATGTAAGCTGGCAAAATTATCACAAGTTCCACATTAGTCAAGAGAAAAATGTAATTGAGTGGTGTAAACCATTCTGATGCTTTGCAGTATCGCTCATAGTCAACTTTGTGCGTGTGATGCAGGATCACAGCTAAGAGTAAGTAACACGTGTTCCATAACGATGTAATAAAAAGTGGCGTCCTTATGAGTCGATATGTCATTTGATAGAAATCTAGGTAGCCATCGATACGCAACTTATGATGCCTCGCCTTGACAATGTGGTCTGTCACCATGACTATCAGCCAATAGGCACAGTGAAGGTATAAGTATATAAAATATGTGTCACACTTGTTCTGCTCCTCTGGCCAAACAGAGACGAACACAATTCCAGTGATTTCCAAAGAAACCTACGATACAAAAGTGCTCCAATGTATCTAGTCCAATTCTTAAACACTTAAAAAGTCTAAAGGCAGAACACAGCAAGCAAGGTATACCTACTCCGAGCAAAAATGGAATCGATACAATTGGCACAGTGTTTAACCTCTGAAAATTGTCTTCCTCCTGGGAACTCAGGATTGGCTGAAAATATTCCTCTTCCTCTTCCATCTTTGCCAGGTTGACAAAAATTGAAAAAAAAACCAACTACCTAATGTACAGACAGATAAAATTGAAATAATAAAAATTAACTCCAACCAATATTGTTACAATACAGATTTAATATTCAATTTTAGGATCGAATTTAATAGCGTCTAGACTTCAAAAATATTAAAGCAACGAAAAGAATAAAAAAAGAAACACTTCTACCTAGAAAATAAATTGATTTTTTTCTTCTATCAAGATATCCTTTTCTGCATCATTCTTTTCCTCAGTAATGCATTTTAAAGTGACTCAACGTGAAACTTGAGATGAAATAACGCTTCGCTATAGCTAATAATATGATCTACGTATTTACATCGCATATATATGTAAAAATAATGACAAGAACGTTCGAAACCAATATACTGCTTTTGTTAATCGACGTAAACACTCATGTCACCCTTGCCACATGTACTGCGACTGCGACGTCAAATTCAATGTAGAACAGAAATTAATCGAGTTTCGTAAACGCGTCGACGTGATAGTTAATGCGTATGACAGTGCGCCAGACTAGGTCGCAGAGTTTTCAGACGAAGGAACAAATCGCACTGCATGCGCAGCAACGCGACGTTAACAGTCGCGTACATGTTTCACTGCGATAAGAGAAAAAAAAAATAGATGTTAAAAAAATACGTCAAACTTATTGAAATTGTGTCGACTAAGAGATTAAAAGATTAAGAAATAATAAGATTAATTATCATAGATAGTGAAGGAAACAGAATAATGATAAGCATTCCAAAAAGTACCTTATATTATAAAGTGTCACGTCTAAGTACGAGTGTGCTAAGTCACGTGGATGGTTGCGTATTAAGTTAGGGTTAGACTATTGTTATGGTTAGAGTTATGATTTCCAGATGCTCGCAAAAGTGGAGTCGTTCCTCTGTCTAGGTTAGGATTAGGTTATGTTTACATTCGCGGCGTCTAGCTGGCGAAAAGCTCCCGCGTTACGCGACGCGTCTTATCGATCGTAATACTATTGTGTACATACTATTCACATTTCCATAGGTATTCGAGTCACCATAAAGCAGATCTTGCCACGCGTTTTCCAAGCGGAAAAGACTTCTCTCCTCGCGCGCTCGAATGACGCCGAACTTCGCTCAGACTCAGACTGCACCGCGCGTGGCGTCATTCATTGAGACAGTGGCTCTCAACTAAGAATTTGCTAATACATCGGAGCATAGAAAAATATGCTCAAAGAGGTTATCGAAAATTTAATTTTTATACTACAGATATCAGAAAATAATCTCTACATTTATCATTTCTGGAAATATAAGATTTTTTACTCATAGCTGAAAATGTTGTTCACGAAAATTATAAACTTTGAAAGAATAATCTATGTAAAGTGTGAAAATTAGTTCTTAATTAATACTTGATTTTTACTGTATATTTTAAAATTTTCTATTATTTTTCAAGAGTTCTTTCTTTCTCTAGATACAAAGAAAAAATAAAAAACCTATAAAAAAATTGGGAAAAGTTCAGAAATGATCAAAAGATAATGAGGCATAATTCGATCGCGATGAATACCGCATTTCTGTATACATTAATCGTTGTTGTGAAAATATACACAGGAAACTGCGAATGATAGTTTACGTGATGCGTCACAAATCTTGATCGCCCGTTTCCATTTCTATGATCCGACGTTGTAAAAAATATCAATAAAATCGCAAGACATTGATTGATATTCCAAATTAGTGAGTTTTATTATACATTTCGGTAGCGTTTTATTTGTCGAAGAGAGAATTAGAGAGAAAAAAACCATAAGCTTTATCCAAAAAACAATAATAAACAGAATTAGACTCGAGATATATTGCAACTCATCAAGAGTACTGCGACGTTCGAAAAATAACATTATCGCGCCTAAGCAAATTATAACAAAAAATAAATTATTTGCTTCAAATTAAAAACTACGTTGCATTTGATCATTCTCTATGTGGAAAACCAATATAATCTTAATATTCATTATCAAAATATCCTATTCGTACTAATTCATTACACCTTTATTAAATCACATTCCAAAATATAGTTTCCATTTTTAAAGCTTTCTGCTAAAAAGCTAAGAAAGAAGCTAAAAAAGTTAAAAAAAAGAAAATAAAAAATATGTACGAAATAGCTAAACGTACGAACAGATGTATCTATCAGCTCTCAATCTTATCACAAACAAGTAAATTCAAGACGCAAAAGAAGCGAGAGAAACCTCACGATCTTCACGATGTAGCTAAACAAACAAATAACGATCGAAGAAAAACTCACAACCTATACATACAATCACATTTTAGGCCAGTGTGCATCTTTCAAAATTCCTAGTTTTTCTTGCGCAAAAAGCAAACATGCCAAAACGACCGATCCACTTGCAACCACCAGACAATTCTTGCCGAAGAATCCGGCGCGATCTCGATTTCCTGCGCGACTACTGGAACCGATTGCTCGCCCCGAATCAAAACTGCGACATATATCTGCCGGAATTATTACGCGCCAACCATTTAATGAGACATCTATCTGCTCTGCCTTCGAACCATGGAATGCGAGTCAACATGAGCTTTACTATTCTCGACAACAGTGCCTGTTTGGAATCGGAAGATGTGTATAACGAAACGTATCCGATGTAATTCACATTCATATTTTCTCTCTCACAATACTTGTTTTTCAATAAAAATTATTTTTCAATCGGGACAAATAAGCAGGACTGGCAAGAGCTCCTCTCGTATTATTTTTGCTCATTAATTTAAAAAAAATATAAATATTTTGTACTCATGAAAATATAATTATTTTTCATGTGATGGACATTTCTCTTTAATCAAAGATAATATTTTATTAAAATATAGAAATTAATTATATCTCAAATAAGAAATATTATGATTTTCCTCTGAATTTTCTCCTATTATGAAGTCATTCGATGTAATAATATTGATTCGCGCAGAAACAATTAATTTAAGAAAAATATAATTATTTCGTACTTCATAAAAATATAATTATTTTTCAAACGAGAGATTTTTCTTTTTGATACAGAAAAATAAAGATAATATTTTATTATATTAAAATATAAAAATTAACTATACACCAAATAAAAAATTTTACGCGGTTATAAGTTTTTCTTTAAATTTCCTCCTATCACTTCATCATTCAATAATATAATAATATTGATTCGCGCAGAAGTAACGCGCTGCTTTATTACAGCGAACCTTACAATAGCGGACTCTGTCGATCGCCATGCTCCGCAGACACGGTCAGATATAATAATTTTCTCAGGAATTACACAACTCAGCTGAGCGAAAACTATGCAGCGATCGAGAGGGAATTGATAAGGGCCAGATTATTGGCGTCCCTCATTGAACGTGACCGACTCGCGAGATGTCAGAATGCATTTTACAATCAGGTTCGATTGCGTTTCTAATCCGAAATAAATTACTTCATTGCAATAGCATTTCGATTATGTTAAATTGTCTACTGCAGCGCGCAGCTGCGTGTAATTGGAATAAATTTCCTGTCGGGAGTCAGACATCTTCCGCAAGAATGTTCACGGGATTACAAGAGGGACACGTTAGTTCGCGAGAAAGAAGTAATCGTCATCAAGCCCACCCATCGTTTCAGTATAAATCTTGCATTCCTGACAGAATAAATAACAATTGCTCGATAAACCAGCAATCGACAAGACAGAAAGAAAATCCCGAAGTAATTAACTGTATTAATACGATACGAATATCATGTGATGAGTCTTTTCTTTTATATGTAATAATAATTATATAAAACTGTATATAATGTTTCGAACTTTTAATATTCCGTCGCATTTCTTATATAATATTTTCGGAATCGAGATTTCCAACAAAAACTTCATTATCACAGTGTGTTAATGATCACTTGAACGTATGAATAAAATAGAATTAATGATCTTTCAGAGATTCAATGACTTACCGAAGAGCGCCGAACAGCACTGGTTCCAAAAACTTCCGCAAAACTCACCGCAAATCTCCTGCTGCTGGGCGGCAGTGAAGAAGCTGCAATCAAATAATAACGTGCGTTAATTAAAACTATCCAATTAAGTATTTTTATTTACCAAGCGATGGCACAGCGCACTCTCAAACGCAATAAATAAAAAAAGTCAGTGACCCAAATTTTCTAAGCATACGTTGATTTTTGCTGTCTACAATTATGGCAAGCGACAAATTGATATTGGCAGCAGCTGTGCCGCTGAAATTGACAGCAAACGTCGCAATTCCGACCCCGTTGCCATTTACTAATGCGACATCTCGAACTTTGAAATCGATCTTCCGAAGAAGTGGGTAAACCTGATACACTCGTGCACTGTGCCATCGATGCTTTTACCAACGATACTCTCCGTCAAGCTCTTTATTGCCGAACTGTCTATCGCGACAGGTTACACATTGTAGCATATGAGTTAAATCGTCGAACGCAGTAAAAATGTAATATCTCTATAAATCGAGAAGTTAATTCGATTTAGACGCAAAGTCATCACACGTCAGATTGTTGCAGCAATTACATATCGATTATTATGTTTGTAAACATGCAACAATGCCGTGCACTATTTTTGGGAAACATTTAATATTTCATAAGTAGATATTGATTAAACCGCAGTAGCAAAGCAACATGTTAACAGTCTCAGAATAGCAACCGGCGTGAAATAAAACAATGAACTCGTAAAACGTCCGGCAATATCTACTGCTATTCCAACTTCAAAACGCAGCAGGCTTCCCCGATTACACAAGATGTTCCGTGGGGAAACATCAATATTCCGATTGTACACACATACATATTTCGGGCATACACGCGCCATATATCTTCGCAAATTTTTTTTTTTTCTTCACATGCAGAATCTTCGAAATGTGAGGTAGATAAATATTCGGGAGTCATATATATTTTTATCCTTTGATCTCTTCGCTGAAAAAAATCATCATTGTTATCAGTCGAAGCATAATCTATTCTTGTATACAGAGTTATTTTTGTCATGTTTATATATGTAAACTGACGTTACTTTGCGACAGGATAAGCGAGTTTTTGGCACGACGTATCTTTTATTTGTTTATTTGGAGATTGCAGTAATCACTTTCAATCTATTAAATGTCAAAGTAGAAAATAAAAAAAACAGATTCCATATATTGCAAAGTCACCCATCCTGTCACTAACATCCGGTGGACTTAACATTTTCCAGGCTCCACAGAACCGTGCCGAGACCACGCTGGATCGAAACGATGAAGCAACGATAAAGCAACGGCGATCGAAAGAGTCGATGGAAGCGTGCCAGAGTGTCAGTAAAACCATCAACGAGGCGGCGAAAATTTCCCATTCGGTGGATTCGCCGGACGTCAAACCCGCGGACGGCGGCGGCGTCGCGATAAATAAAAGCGATAAACGATCAGCGCAACCGATCAGCTGTCAAGGAAATGTCCTGCAGTTCGTGGAATCGAGTAACGTCGCGACGGATCAAAGCCGACACACGGAGGAACAAGGACGCAGAATCAAACGTAAATTGAACAATCTGGAAAATCAAACGATCGAAATTGATCAAGGAACTAGCAGCCAGCAGAATGGATCGAAGACAAGCGACAGAATCAAGTCGTACTTCAAAGATGTACCAACAATATTCTCCTTTGATGAGAAAGCTGTCAGGAGCAGAATCAGGAATGGCAGAATGCCAATAGAGGGAAGATCATACTTGAAAAGACGCGTGTCCTCGCCGAGGTACGCGAGTTTCCTGAGGATGCTCCGTAAAGAAGAAGCGGACGAACGGCTTCGCGGTAATTCCTCGTCTCGGAGAAACGAAGCGGAAAAGCTACAACGAAGAGGACTATCTGCGGAGAGGTAAAAGACAACGAAGCGAAAAGAAAGATTAACAAAATTCCGAAGATCGAAGGGATTATCTTTATCTAATTTCCTCTTTGCTTATTGGACTTAAAATTAAGTCTCTTAAACTGAAAGCACATGAGAAAATTTTTAAGAGTATTGGTGTAACGTCATTGCATATATAGTGATTCGTTAAATTAAGCGTTTCAAAAATTTAAGAGAAATTATGTGAAGATGTATTAGGAATTGATATTTATATTTTTTTCACGCAAACATAATATTTAAGCTATAAAAATGTTTTTATATATTGCTTCATATACTTGCTCCCTTCTTAATTTTTAAAACGCTTAATCAATTTCAAGAAAGACTATATCTCTGATCGTTCTTCTTTGATCTCATTTGCAGCACCGGATATAGTAATCGAGCGATCCACGACGATCCGCGAATCAAAAAAAGAACGCCGACCCCACGCAGCACGGTGCACACGACGTACAATGCCATAACGCACTCATCGGCCGCTGATCCTATTTTAGATTCCAGCGGTCTCACGATACAACTCTTAAGGTATTTATTATACAATCTGCTTATTTACTTATTCGTCTTTAAGTGTTTTCGGTTTTATTTCTCTTTCAAAAAATAATAAGCACACTACGTCAAATATTTTACGTCATTTTTAAAACATCTAATGCGAGATTAGAATCGGATAAAAATATATTCTCGTTTTTAAATACATTGATAAAGCAAAATTATCTTATTTATGCAGGCTAGCTGTTTTATTGTACGCGCCCGCGTTGATGCCGGCATTGAATTCATTGATCGCGCAGCAGAATCAGCAGACGCCCGTATCTTCTGCCTTCGAGCGATCCAACGATTTATTGACGCAAATCTTTCGGCTGTTGAACGAGCAACAATCCATTCCTAATTTGCCGTTTGTGTCGATCGAATCGGAGAGAGTTTCCTCGGCCTTGGCCGCGGAGACTGATGCCGGAAGCTCGCAAACACGTTCTGAGGAAAACAAAGAAAATACCTCGATTGCTAAGGAAGAGTCTGGCGCCGCTGCCTCGCAAGAATCTATTTCCGCCGGCACGAGCGGCTGGAAATCGAACAATCGGCTGCAGCAGCAGAACGGAAAGAACAGAAACTGGCGACTGACATCAATACTGACCGATTCCGATGTGAGATTGGACAGAAATATCTTCACGGCGGAGGATTTCCGGAAGTTTGAGGAATTCTTGAAGGCTGAAAAGCAGCATTCGGAAGACATTTTTCGATCCTTGTCCACGAGAAGCAAGAACGAGATCGTTATGAAGGAATATTTTCGGAATTGGTTGCATCGATTGCTGCAGCAATTCAACGCAGTGAGTAGCAACTTGCCCTCGAACGAAAAGACAGAATATCCCGAAGGATCTTCAAGAGCAACAGGCGAATCCTCCTTGGAAAAGGTAGAAGGACAAGAAAGTACAAACCGTTCGACGCCTAACGAATCGTCGGATTCCTCGAAAAATGATCGAAATACCGAACACGAGGAAGGAGATTCGGACGATCAAAGGTCGTTCACTTCCGCTACAAGCACGAGCTCTTCGAAATCGGTGCAACTTAAGCAGAACGACGCGACGGTCGCGAAAAAAGAAGAGCCGCGAAACGAAAATTCGCAGGATTGATGTAACTTTCGATAATAAATAAATCATGCACACATAAAATTAAACTGTCATCTTAAATTAAACTATCACTTATTTTGCGGAACACCATTTCACTGACAATGTAAAATTAGATTAAAAGTTAGAATTTTATTCTTCAACTAAATTCAATAAATTAAAGTATTATTTAAATTACAAATTAATTACTAAAAAATAAAATTATGCTCAAAACAGCTAAATAGTGCTACGCTTTACAACGATAAAAATTGTTTGTAAAAGAAATCGAGAGTTCTTACAAATCATTCGGAAAGTGCCAAACTTACAAGACATAATATAAACTCGAGCCATGCGGCAAAGCTTGCGAAGACGCTTGCGCGCGCGGGCAAACACGTGGTGAACGCTGCAAAGCCGAGCTTTTCTGCCGCTCGCTGAGAGCTTGCAGTCGCGCGTGTTATCGCTACCGGAACGCTTCCCCTCTCGATCGATGGTCGATCGAGCCTGTTTTCCGCCCCTGTTCACCCTGTGAGCGCTTGAAACAATAAACGTTCGAGTCATCAACGCGGTCCAGGCGCGAAAAGAACGCTAAAATAAACGATAGATAATAAATTTCTCCTTCTCTCACTTTTATTAATCACGAATGACAGTTGGCGAAAACCGTGCCGGAAATCATTGAAGAATTTCTAAGCCGCGCGCGAATAGTTTACCGACGAAAAATTCTGAGAATTCTTTAAAGAGTTTCAAGAAGAAAACCTCGCCGCGATGAACAGCGAACAGAAGAACGTTACTTTTGCAACGAAAGCGGATACGCAAAATCATGACTGAAAAGATGGAGAAACGTCGCGAATCTTCACGTTGATCGCACCGAAGGGACACGCGGGATGAGCAAGGACGAGAGCAACGGCGATGCGGCTGGCTCGCCGACCACCTCGCCGGATGCTCCGCTGAAGGATCCGAACGCGGAGATCTACGAGAATCGCGGGCCTAAGAAGATCATCCGCGTGGTCACCGTGATGGCCTATCTGTTCTCGGTGAGCTTCGTGGGTATCTTGCTGAGCGCCTATTACTTGTTCCTGTGGGAGCCGCCGAACCCGAAGCTCATAATGCAAGAACGTCTTTTGGCCGATCCGCAGATGCAGTTTCTGGTCGTCGCCGCGCCGTCCGTCGAGAAAACCGACGTAGCGGTGCAAGCGAGCACGCCTGTCTCCGAAAACGAGCTCAATCAAACTTATAAGACTCTTATGAATCGCATGGCGGAAGATGTGACCGAGGACTATCCTGATATCGAGAAGCCGAGAATATTAAGCGCGATGTTGTTAAAGCTGAGACACTCGCTTGTGGAAGCTCAGCGCGCTCAGAATCTGAACTCGTCGCGCGAAGCGATGACTTCGAGCGAATCCGATGATTCGTTTGTCGCGGTAAAAGAAGTGTTTAACTCGACGAGACTAATTGCTCGCGCGGAAGACTCGGTCTCGGGAGACGCTAAAAACACTTCCGAAGAAAAGATCCGAAGTGACAACACTAATTCGCCTCCGGAACTCGCGGATTCTACGCTGGACGTTGAGAACACGTCCTCGACACCAGTCGCGACTATTCCTGGAACAGAAACAAATCAGAATCGTCTCGGCGAGAAATCTGTTACTGATGTCAATCGACGTGCAGCTTTGATCGTCCACGAAAGAGAAAATTGGAGCGACAAGAGAAAGCTCGATGCCGCGAAAGCAAATGATATCACAAACGGCAGCGGTTATCGCGCTTACAAAGATAACAATTCTTCTAAAGTTATCCGGAAATTTCCGGAGGTTGATATTCTCGATAATAAAGAACCGATCAAAACTGAACAAAACGAGACTGATCAACTGATCAATAGCGATCGGGAAAATCCGAATAATTCGAGCGGTGCCAGCACTATCGCCATGCCAGAGAGGCACGTGGAAGATCGCACGAATCATCGCCTGTCTATAAATATTGTTAATAGTTTCCGGCGAAACTATTTCGACAGCAACTATGCCGAAAAAATCACGCGCGATAAAGTATCAAATGGCTCGCCGTCGTCTCGCGACGCGGGATTCACCGACAATCCGGGATTCCATCAGCCGCCGGATGAGCCGATCGTCGTAAAACAGCGACTATACGCCACCGCAGATTCCGAAGGTGAGAGAATTCGGCGCGGATTTGCAAGCCTTTCTTACTAGGATAAACACGGCCACGCGCGAGACGTGTCCGTGTGATTATACAATGAGCGTTACGTCATTCTACGGTTTTCCCTCGGCACTGCCAGGATCGTGATCTTTCTGTATAGATCACCAAGCAAGTTCCCATTTTTAGCGACGATAACTGTATACTGTCGGGATTAAATAAAAAATTATAATAGAAAAGAAATAAAAATAGTTAATTAAAATGATTAATCTCTACGTAGAATACTCTATTAACTTTCATACTCGAAATGGGCAATTATACGAATTGTTATGCTCTTGCATCTGCTGGAACATCTGTTGCAGTTTATCCTCTTGCTGTTTTCACAGAAATATAGCCATTATAATAGCTTGTTCATCTAAATAAATATCTGAAACTTTCATTTATTGTTTATGTCTGGCATTCGCAAAATTGCATGGAATTAATTTATCTTGACTGCATATTTCTTCCAAACTATTCAGAGTCTTATTTTATACTCTTGTTAGAGATATAAATTATACTTTAATCACGTTCTACATTTATCTCTAATAATTTATTAGCAGTTATTTAACGCGTTTCGAAATAAAATAATATATAAACATAGAAATAATACGTCGCCGATAAAATATTTAAAAAATAATTCCTACTCGCGGCTAGAAGAGGAAAGAAATATTTTCCATAAATACAGCAGATGGATGGTAATGATTAAAGCCTTAGAAATAAGTCGCTAGATCGACATACTGTGATTATCTACATGTTACCATGTAATAAGCGAAACAGGGTCAGGTCGATCTATCGTACGGCTTCTTCGACGTTACGTCACTCAAGATCAATTCTTTAATATTATTATTCTTAAATATATATCACACTTATCAATTATGACAACTGCTAATTTCTCTTTTTACAGTTAATGAAAAAAAAAATTCATCGAGAACACTTCATTCAAATCTGCATAATGTAGCGTTCAATTCAAAACTGCTAAAATAGCGTTGGTTACTCTCAGAAATCTCAATCTATAAAAGTTTCATAGCATAAAACGTGAATTAAAACATCGAACTGTGAATAATTTTATACTAAAAATAAAAGCTTTTTGCGAATTAAATCTTAGAAGCATAAATAAAAAATTAAAAATTTTACGCAGTTTAACAAAAAATCGGCTATTAAATTTAAAAGAATCGGAGGACCTCCCCGTCATATTTCGGGAAAAAAATTTTTTTTTTTCTATAATGTTTATGATACTGGTATACTTTAGTGAAGTCCGGTCGTAATTCTCTAGAATTTTCAGTCGTTCTCAAGGTCTGTGTCCGTCTTCTCCGGTTATACGAAACTTACACCGAGAAATCAAATAATGCACCTTGTTTGCCGAAGAAAAGATCGAGGGGGTACATCGTGACATTATAAAACAAAGGCGCGCCTTCTTTTATAGACAAGTAAAGCGACAAAATTGCGTCGATCTATTCTCGAAACGAAATTACTCACAATCAGTCCGATCCGCCTTACTTATTCAGCTCCCGTTACACTTAATTCCACTTCGAAGCTACGCTATATCTCACTGGTGAAATATTCTATTCACAGCTTTCCTAATTTCCATATATTCTTAATTTTCGTATTTTTTAAACAATCCTTCTAATCAACTGAAAAAAGAAAGTTTCTTTGCAAGATAAATTATGCTAATTTTGCATATTTTTCTGCGACGCTTATTACATCTCATTTATATGTTAATTATAAGATAAAAATAAGGAAAAGTCTCAGTGCTTAAAATGATGTAAAAACCTTGAGTAAAATTTTTATTAATCTTGCTGCAATTTTCTTTTTTAAATTTTAAACAAGAACGTTGCTCGGTTTACATGTAATTTCTTACATATTAAATTTTAATGAAAAAGATTAAAGCTACGAAATAACGTTTGTTGCTATTTATTGAAAAGTCAATAATGTTTTCAGAAAAATATGCAATCGCTCATTTCTCTGCATCGTTGCCTCTGCAGCGACGCAGTTTCGTCATTGCGTCAATAAATCCCCACTTTTTCATTAGCTGCATTTCTTAGAACTTGCGGAATGATCTTGAGGATCAAAGCCATAGCGAGCAGACTTTCAAATAATAGCATTCGTTTAGATCATGCGATATATACGGCTTGCAAAGATTAAAATTTTTCAAAATTACTGCAGTGTGCATTTTCTCTCAAAACTGTTAAGTGTTGTTTGACATTTTATTTATTTTCTATATAAAACAATTGCAAATTTTGTTCTTTGAGAAATACAAAATAATATATGTATATTTGAAAATTATCTGAAAAAAGATTAATATGAAATCAGCGCAAAATTATTTCTAATGCATCATACGATCTCAGCCTTCGACATGTCCTTTTTTTAAATCGGATTTAGTTAGGAGTCTATTTTGGACAACTCTTATCCAAATCTAATTCACAATTTTCTTAATCACTGTGTGTGTATGTGTAAATGTGAGTTTAAGTGTATGTGTGTGTATATATGACCAGTGTGTGAGCTCAGGTTCGTGAGTTTGCTTAGCCCAAATGACTGTGCGGTTCAGTCATTCTTGCGGATAACTTGCTCTTCTTCTTATTCAAATTCCAAGGCACAAGACATCGGTTGTTCAACCGTATTCTTTGATTACACGTCGCGAATGGAAGACGTTCTGAGATCTTCGGCATTCACGTGGAAACTTGATATTTCTGTCATTGTAAATGTAGAAGACGTAAAAATGTATAGTTAAGGAAAACAGGCGTGCAATCTGCGCGCAGGTGTAATGGCCTCGCGTATATTCCCTCGAGTTTATCAGCCCCTAGCTGGCGTCGAGGCAAAAAGCTCGCGGCGGGTCAAGGTCCCGGAGCTTGCGCACTGGCGGCTGTTTTCTCGTGCACACACGTCCGACGTGGGTGAGCTTTTTTTTTGTAATCGCGACATACGGCGAGATACGGCTATCCACAAGCAGCCGGCATGCAGAAATAGCCAGCAAGAAAACGCGCATTTAGTTGTGTGGAGAAGACGGAAAGAGTCGAAAGCTTCGCGGACTATCGATTCGAAACCGCGTGAGTCAACCTTCTCATTCTGGCACGTTCCAGAGCTTGCCGGGTGAAGGGGAGGCACGCCCTGTCGCTTCCTCGCGTCTTCCACTCGCGATGTGATCAAAAAGCATATTCGAACAACCGATCTTTGTGCCAGAGTTTAGATAAAGTTGCAAGATCAAGTCGAAGAGCATGATGATGCGTTGGAAATAAATCTGTGTCGCTTGGGCATGTGTTTCACGTCGAGGTACGTTCACGCTGCAATTGAAATACTGCGAAAAAAAATTATTTAAACTGAGAATATAATTAGGTTGCCTCGACTGATGTGGCACGTCATTAATAATATATATATATATATATATATATATATATATTTATATATATATATATATATTTGTTAGAAAGTATTTAGTCATTTTCTCTAATGCTTGGATTAAAACTCTCATCTCTTTATCCAAAAATAAATTCGTCCTAGTTAACAGGTAATTACAACAGGTAGTTGAGAGCCTACATATATACATGCGTAAAGATTCCAGCAATTTTCCAGAATATTTGCGAGTCTCGCGAGTTGGAACATTCCAGCATTTTCAACCAGCGTCACCAACGTGAATTTACTTTTCAGCGCCGAAAGAAAGTCTGCTCGCTTTACGATTTCTCTCGAAATCCCGTTCCTCCTGTCGAGGCCTATTTGCGAGGTGATGAACGCTTCGTCGATCGAACCGTGATTTCACCCGAATCTCGAAGATGCAGTTGCCGCGAAAGATGAGCGCCCACAATGTGATGGCCAGCATTGGCCGTACTCTGGGCAACCGCGAGAGTAAAACACCGCCAGCCAACGAGATCCGTTTCGCTGGCGACGAGCGTAAAGATAAGCTCTACGAGCCCAAACACAAGCAGAAGCTGGTGCGAGTGCTGACGGTGATCGCGTATGTCATCTTCGTCAGCATGGCAGCCATACTCCTCTCTCTATATTATACCTTCGTCTGGAATCCCAAGGACCAAGATCAGATCAGAAAGATGAGGATCGATAAGCCGGAGTGCCCGAAATTTTCTCTCAACTCCCTCACGACATCGCCGATCTCTAATGGTAACGGCCATCGTTTGATCAAGAAAATGCGAATGTCCTTTCCTATCCACAAGATCAAATTGTTTTGCGAGAGAATTAGAATAAACCGAGAGACAAAAGTCTGCGCTGAGAATTTTTTAGAGAGAGAAAAAGATCGATGTAACATCGGTGATAATATATTCTACAATCGAAAATAAATTCTAAAAACTCCGTGCTACAAAAGCATTATATTGTAGAAATTTTTAATAATAAAAAGTCTAATGTAAAAATTTCATACGAGATAAATGTCGTACGATATTAATGTTGTAGGATATGAATTATGTGAAACAAATATTCTTTCTACAATATCACAGTTCAAAAGTTTCTATGTAATATTTATATAAGTAAAAAAAATGTTTGTTAAAAACGCTTATAAATGTGTACGAAAATCTGTAAAATTTGAAAAAAAGTATGAATTAATATTTGTAATTTCCTATTATAAATACTTTGTCTCAAATAATTTAATACGTTATATTAATTAAATATGTTTCTTTTTTTCACAGAAACACAGATCGAAAGGATGACCACGAGATCTGCGATAATAGACGATAAACAGCTGAAGGAAATAGATTTATCGACTACGCAACGACACAAAGGTCTATGGGAAACCTTGACGGAAACTACGGACATTAAGGAAACGTCCGTAGAGCTAACATCGGTATCGACAGCTCGAAATTATCTCAATTTCACCAGTACTGCAAATGACGATGATGAGAGCGTCACATAAATGAACGACAGACTTTCCGCATTTTATGTCGAACGTCATAAGTTACAGGGAAGCAAAACTAGTAATCGCTAATAGAGTATTAATACCTATTAGTACGTTCATAGAGTTTTTCCCTTTTACGGATAACGAATGCTAGAGTTCGTATCAGCCTAAATTTGCCAAATGAGAATTTGTAGTGATTAGATCTGCTCTTCAAGACCGACACAAAAGTTGGACAGCAGAAACTAATAGTTAAATAATAGTTAAATAATTTAAGAACGTCTAGTGTTACATGAACAACTATCGCGAAAATACAATAGAAAAAAACCAATTATAATAATAAAATAATAATATATAAATATTATATAAATATTATATAAAATTATAAAGAAATTACATATATTCTATCGCAAACAGATTATCTCTGCTAAATCAAAAATTTCACTTTCATTGTGTAATAAGACATAGATTATAAATATAATTTTTCGTGAAATTTATCATTGGTTCAAGTTCCTTATCATTATAATGATAAGTAGAAAAATATATAAATACTCTCGAGAATATTTTTATAACAATTACTACTATTAATAGATGGGAAAATGCAGTAATTGTCATAGAAATTTATTATAAACTCACAAAAGTTCATTATCACAATCGAAATTTTCCTGATAAATATCTTATGTAAGTTTTATATGATTAATAAAGTAGCTACGCTAATTACATTATTTACATTTTATCTGCAAAGTAATTATTTTATGTTTTACTTACAACATAAACGTATAAAACATTAATAATAAAAAAATAGGTGATTATTTAAAATCACCTTTTCATCTTATATTTACACGAGAATGGAAAAAGTGTTCAACGTCTAATTGTGTGTACTTTAGATTCGGATGTTATCATTTTAGCGGCTCTGTTTTGGCCCACAATTCGAGCAAGCGCTAAGGCATCGAATTTGTTATAAATGGCAGTCACCGACATGTTGAACTCCGTGCCGGCACGCGGATTTTGATACATCCTATCCATCAGGTTACACATTTCGCTGTAGAAATGCGGATAAGTGGGCAATTGATAGAATATAAGATGTCGAATACCCTTGATCCTTGTTCTACGCCAGAAATGCCAGCGCTCCGTGTAGAGGAGGAAATGCGCATCGCTGTGGAAGAACATATCCCTCGCCCGAGCGACCTTCGCGTCTTCGGTGTACTCGCATATTTGCGCGAAGCTCAGCTTCTCCTTCATCAGTCGATTCCGCAGATATATGAAATCGAAGTAGCACGGCACGTAGATCAGTGTGTGATTATATATGGGATCCGTGTAGCGTGGTAACACCTCCTTCAGGAAGAAATCCAGCCTGCTATCGATAGCCTGAACGAGATCGGACGCGTCGAATCTGTGAAACACCTGCGGAACTGTGACGCTCACCTGGCGTACCGAGCCTGGCTCCACTCGATTCGCTACCTTCACTTTGCCCGCGTAGTTGAAGCATCTTTTAATCATCAACGTGTTTACATGCGGCAATTCGATGCTGGAAAAGATCAACGTCTGTCTGTAATATTTGCTCCAGCCGTTCACGCACCAACTTCTCAGACGGGAATAGTCGATGTCGCGAGACTTCTTAGGCTGCAGGTGCATGTAATCCAACACTTGATACAAGTGATCCCAGTTCTGCATAACGACCACGTCAATCTGATCCATAACCAGCAGTTCTATCGACGAAAGAAAATCGTAATCTCTCACTGCTTCGCCTTCTGCGCCTACTACTCTCCGAAGACCCAGTGGCGAGCCGATTATGATGTCGGAGGAATAGAAATCCGTGTATAATTTGAGAGTCTTTTTAGTGATGGCCATGCCAATCTTAAATTTGTCGTCGATGTTTCCTTGCAACGTTAAATTGTAATCTTCTGGTCTAGGATTCTTTTTCGGCATCGTCAATTCGTTTCCAGTGAAATCCTCCATAAATCGTAGCTTGTTGACAACAGAACCACCCTTGTCCTCTCCGAATAAAATCGAGATAAACATCTCAACTATCTTCAAGCAAGAATGCTTGAATGGCACTATTATGAGCACCTTGGGCCTTACTAAACTTTGATCTCTGTATTCGTCTGGAATTTCACCCATGCCACTGCGACTGGACTTTGCTAACTTTGCATTATGATGTAGTATTTTTGTTCTTGTTTTTAATACATGATTAATTACATGCAAGCAATAAACAAATCGTATCTGGTCAGCATTCGAAAATGTTCTTTCAGGATAATGCAAGTCTTGATAATTATTTATTATTGAAAACAGTTCTTTCTGAAGAGGAGTCAAATGTGAATCTTTTTCTACACTAGCATTTATATTATTGCAATTAGCTTTATTTAGATTGTCCTGAATCTGTGATTTTATATGCAACTTATTCCAGTCAACGTTTTCAATCAGATTTGGAATCTTACCGTAACTTGCGTATTGTTTCTCTTCATCATCCAGAAGTTTCTTCATTTTTATTGGCTTATTTTTTGAATCAACAGCAGGTTTCGGAATCTGACATATCAAATTTCCAAGTGTAGGCCATGATAATGTTGCAGTCTCTGTAACCTGCGGTGTTGTAGACACTGCTTCGTACAAGTCATCATCCATGTCATTACGCAAATGTAAAGAAAACGGATCTCTCAAGTGACCAGCGTCCTCTTGGGCAGTTTCAGCATCCTCATAGTTCTCTTCTTTTACGCTAATTGTAATCTCTTCGTTTTCATTCTGATCAGACTCTTTATTATTTGCTTCAATTTCTTCAGTCTTTTCTTCTTCAATTTTTTTCTTTTTTATTTTCTTCATTTGTTTCTTTTTATCTTTCCTTTTCTCTTCATTCTTTTCATCCTCATCCTGTGCTGTTTCATTTTCAGACGTTTCATTTTCACTTTCCGAACTGGTTACAATTGGTTTTTTTAGATTCTCTAGTAAATTTTTATAACCAGGAAATCCAGCCATAAAGGCCAATTCAGGATCAAATTCTTCCTCTTCAGAACTGTCTATTTCCTGAAGTTTTTGACGTGTTTTCTCTTGTTCCACTAATCGTCTCCGAGCTTCAATTTCTTCATTTTTTGCTTCGCGTTCTTTGACATAAGAAGTTTTCCTCAAGTCAAATTTTTCTTTTTTTACCTTTGATCGATTCCGTCCATTGCGTTCGTTAAATTTTCTCTTTTTACCATGAAAAGGCCGTTTTCCTGGAGCCATTGAAGCAACAATTCCAATTAATTTGTTCCTAGCTAATAATACAAAAAAGATAACTATTAGTAACTAAATTAATTTGAAGATTGCTAATTTATTAACATAATTAAAATTTACTGTAATAATTCAACTTTTAATAAACTTACTGTTAATGTGTTTATCCGGCAAGCAATGCGGTAAGCAACGTGACCACTCCACCTAACTTTAACAATTAATTATGTATTTATTTATTTATTAAATAATAATTGAATTATTTATATCATAATAATTATTACATTAATTTAGCTTTTCATAAACTTACTGTTGATTTGCTTGTCCAGCTCACAAAAAACTTGCAAATACTTGATCACTGTTTATCACGTGTCTCTATTTTTGTTTCCGTTTTGAGGCTAGATGCACTTAACCTCAAATGTTTTTGTTTCGAAATATTGGTATCCCTTTTAAGAATACAGTATTGCCAATATTAAAGCTACAAATTTATGCCGCAAAAAATCCACCAATCACTTTAAGAGTGCAACAATATGGCATCGCGTCGCCTTAAAAGTTAGGCACTTTAAATTGAACGAAACATATCTAGGTATTCGTACATCATGACTATGATAAGGAATTCGATATTATTTTTTTATCACACAATATAGAATATTTATGTACCAATATGATTCATAAATCATTTAAACAATTTGTTTGTTTTATTAATTTGTAAATATAAAATCAATAACACAAAATAAATTTATTAATTATTCTCATCAACAGAAATATAAAGTTGTTTTCATAGAGCTTTAGATAATAACATTTTATTTATATTATCTCCATCTTTTTCTACTTTATTTTATCTAAGAAAGCATAGATTGCAATAAAATTTTATTTTTGAGAATGAGTGTTGCAACGAAAGGATTAATTTATATATTTGTATCAATTCATATTATATATTCGTATTAATTCATATTTTTATCATCGAACAAGTAAATCATCGCATGCAAATACAACTTGGAGCAACTTATTACTCCACAAAATGAAAAAACTCACCGTCAAAGAAGCATCACAGTCACGGTTTATTGTTACTTTACACAATGTCCACCGACTCGAATTTCTAAGATGGATCCTCCAAATATTTAGTGCAAAAATGGCTTCAAATCGGCGATTGAAACACTCGGTCATACTCGATATTCAAACACTTACTTGAACGCGGATAAGCTGAATAAACACGATTTTATGGACACGATTTCGATTAATACGAATCACGATTTGCAATCTCCGACAAACAATATTAATTCGATTGACGATTACGCGCGATTGTAACGGAAAGTAGCTCGCGATGCAGAAACCGAAAAAAATGTTTTAGAAACAATGCACTCGCGGCGTCGCGATAGCTCACGTGACATTGCAATAATTAAGCTAGATACACGATACACTATATGAAATCGAGTGACGTTTGCCGCAAGCTGGAAAAGCCAATAAAAATGCTTGTTTTTATACTGTGTATAAAAATGAAACAAATAAACATTAAGGAAAAAAAGCTGATATTTAATCAATTAATTTCCATAATAAAAAAAAAATTGATTTCAAACTTTTTGAACTTTTCTCAATACTTGTAACACTAAAGAATATTGTTTTATTAAATCTTAACTCCTATTGCATTCTTAATATACTTATTTTTATTTCCTGACTGTTCTTTGTGAAACTAAACACAAATAGATAAATAATAAACGAAAATAGAAAGAAGACTGCCAAACTTGTAAAGTCAATAGCCGGTATTCATAGTCCGTTCTTATATTTAAGATTGCTTAAGCACGGACTTATATTCGCTCTCTTCGTCACACATAGATTGTGTCTGACGAAGAGAGCGAATATAAGTTCGTGCTTAAGACGATCTTGAATATAAGAACGGACTATGAACACCGCCCAATGTCTAATTTTGAAGAACAAAAATCTATAGTCTCAAAAAATACATTTTTAGAAATTCTTTTTTATCCTCCTACATATTTTACAGGCTAATTTAAGACTCGCTTTTATCAACGTCGGTTAAATTTAATTGTGATTTATTCAAACTTTTTTGGTCATATTAGACTGCAATCAATATTGCGATCTTGCAAGAAACAAAGGATCAACAAATACAATTACATTAACCGATGCTAATGAACTTAGCATTAAATATTATAACGTTTTTATATTGTGCAAGAATTATACATAGACCTCATAATTACCTCCGATGAACTACAATAAATTCTCGCGGCAACGCCTGAAGTTCGCAAGTTTGCGAAGTAAAAAGGTTAGCGGACTTTTCCTTGAAGGGGAGGGAGGATGAGGGTTAGAATGCAAAAATTCACTGTTTCGTGCGAAAACGAGATTGACGAAAATTGCGCGAATTGCAGCGGTGTTTAATCACCATCGAATAAGCAACGCAACAACGCGAACCGCAATGCAAGGAGGAAGGGACACGCGCGGGAAGCAGGAAAGAGCGGGCGAAATTAATTGACCCTTTGCTCGCTTGTTTACAAAATATCCGGTCCCTAACAAGAATCGCGCGAGCCGCCGTGCCGAGGCGTACGATTGTCGACTTCGCTGCGTACGCATCGACAATACCGCATATCCTGATGTGAAAAAAAGGCGCAGTGCCCCGATGCATGCAATTGCACATGGTGATAAAATTCTCTCAGTGCGTAATAACAACAATTTAACTTCATACGAAACCTTCTTAGATTGAAGAAGATTTAGTTCTGTAAAATTAAATACCTAATTTTCACGGTGCCTCGGCTGAGCGTTATTCGTATAAATCTTAACGTGCACGATGCACCGGCAATTCTGACACGGCCTTGACGGAGAGAACCG